GCCTGGCCAGGCAGCCCAGCGCCGTCGCAGCAGCCGGCGATGGTGGCCCGGCGCTGGGACCGCTCGTGCAGGAGCAGCTGGATGAATGATTCACACAGATTTCTGACCTTCTCTGTTCCTTTCCCGCTTTCTTCTCATCTGCTCAGCAGGGCTAGCAGTCGTGTACCAGACTGCAGGACTGCTGTGTGACTTCAGCTAGGCTCGGGATGAATTCTGCAAGTGAAATACCATCAAGATCAGGCCAAAAAAGTGTAGCCAGGACATCACTGTTACGGCAGGACAGCGTTCTGTAGGTTCGTAGCACATGGACGCGAGCTTGTGATGAGTACACCAAATTGCGTCTGTCTTAACCTGGATGCGCTGCTAAAGGCAACCATTTTTCTTGAGTTACGCACGTCCGAAAGACTGAGTCAGACCCGGCAGGAATGTGGACGCTAGGATCTTATAGATTGACCTAAATCTCTCTAATTTCACAGCTCTTTTATCCTAGGCATGCGTAGGGGGCTCTCTCCTACAAAATTCTGCTGTCGGTGCCGTATCGCCTCGCAGGACGGGTCCGGGATGAGCCTCGGGAGGCTCAGCTCTTCCTGGGTGAGGATTACGCGAGTGCATAGCATGCCGCTGTTGCCTCCTCTTCTGATGGAACCCTCCAATACTGCATCAGCTTGAGCACTGTGCTGCAGTGAGGATAGTGCGAGAAATTCCCATTTTGTAATTTAGACACATTTTCTTGTGATTTTGCAGCCTGAGTGCAGAAGTGTTTTCATCTGCAGCAATAAAGAAACATACAAACGTGAGACCTGAGGATGGGGAGCAGGTGCAGCAGGGGCACTTCTGCTCTCTCCTGCTTTCTTTACTCTGCCAAATTTGAAGCATGCATTTTTGAAACCAAGATCATGGACCAAATGCTGTACAGCTAAACTCGTTTTACTATGACTAACTCGCTTAAAGTTACTACTGATCTATGTTGGTTTAATTATAGATTTTCATGGACTCATTCCAGATGAGGCCTAGATAAAGCAGCAGAATTCTGTCACAGGACTTGACTTGTTATACAAAGTGTCATGAATATAATGACACTGAATAAATAATTTACAGTACCACGTGTCTGGTCTTATTTATAGAGTATAAATTGAGAATAATTTTACTAATTTTAGAAAGTTAGTGTGAGCATACAGAGGAGAATATGCCATTCTAGAACAGCATGCAGTATATTGAAAATATGACAGATAAAAAGTAAGAAATGGAGGCATTGAAAAGGAAATGGTTATACAAGGTTTAGCTTAGTAATGGCTGTGATTAGAATAGTGCAGATCTCCGGAATCCACATCTTCCAAGACTTATTCTAGTACACATTAAATTATGCTGCCAGTCCTTACAGTTCTTAACAACTTGGAAGTTCTGAAAAATCCAATAGCAGACACTCTATTTCAGCGCAATTTAAAGTATGATTCTATGCACTTCAAGAGATCTAGATAAAGTACTAGGAAAAGAAGTAAATAATTCTAAAATTGACTATTTCTGATAAAAAGCAAAATAGTCAAAGCAGTGGTTGAGGGAGGAAATCCTTTCTCTACTCTCAGCAAATGGCAACAAATTGGAAAAATGGAAGAATACAAAAGATGAAAAGGACAGAACAGGGTTGGTCTAGACACTGGAATTGAAATTACAAAGCACAGAGAGATATGTAGACTTGAAACAAAACCATTTTAATCTCATACGTAGAATAGAATGACTGTCTGCCATCTGGAATTCAGGGAATCCGGTGAAGGTTGGAGGTGTAAACAGCACACACAGGATTATCAACATCTGTTTTCAGTGCATGCGGATGTATGTAAGTCCTTGAGGGATAAGCTAGAGAAAATAAAGGGAATTAATAAAACCTGATGATAGAAAAAGGATCACATCATTGTATTTGTTTAGAGACAATATGGACTTACGCACGCTGAAAATAAATAATGCCTACAATGTACCAAGTCTGTTTTCTATTAATCTCTTCTTCCGGTTCCTGTAAATCCTACAACAGCACAGCCTTCCTAGCAGATGTAACATTTTGGAAGGTTTGGCATATGATACCCCTCCTAATCTTCTCCCCAGAACAGATAATGGATAAAAATTGGTAAGTTTTGAAAATTTAAGAGTAGTATCTCATACTAGCCCACTTTGTCTGTATGTCCTGTTCCATTGCTGAGAGTAAAAGGCTCCAGGATGGCTATGCCAGTATAAATAAATTGAGCAATCTGAGCCTGAAATGTTACAGAATATGATAAAACCTAAGGTCTGCTCCTTTGACATTCTATATGACCGTAAATGAATGACTACACTAAAGAGTGCTCATCAATGTTCAGAAGAGGTCCTGTTAATATTCGGCCTCAATATCAAATGGCTTTCCATTTCCAAAGGACCCATAAGATGATATAAAAAATACTAAAAATGTTTTGCACAAACCAACTTTAAAAGTTGGTTGACCAGGACCAATATTTTGTTGCTAGGAAGGGAGCAATGATGACACTGATTATTTCCACAGTTAAGAATCCACAATATAATTGATTTTTATCTTACTCATTTAGCGTGGGCAGGCTCCATTTGTTCAAGAAACCTGTAATATATTCCTTGAATCACTGTAACTATGAGAGATACAAAAGTTGATGTAATGAGTTAAACACACTATTTATCTCAATTTGTTTTGCACACTGAATTCCCATTTCTGACACAGATACAGGTTCTATCTAGATCTACTGGTCGTTTTTGTCAGATGTCTCATTCATTTTGTGTGCTGACAAATAACTCGAGAGTTCTGCTTTATTCAGGGTGCCTCTGATTTTGGATTTCCCTATCCTGAGATTTCGTTTTCCGATACACTAAGTACTTGCACCTTTCATTGAGTAATTGAGACCTGGGCTGCCAGCAAATTCAAAAGTCATGACCAGTAATGCCTCCAGTGAACAAGAGAGTTAGACGAGAAGCAATTATTTGATCAGGTGCATATTTTTGACACATTAGGTGTCTGCTCTTGAAGAGCCATGGATGTTTGG